AGATCTACGAGTCTTTCAAAAGCTTTGGTTTAAATGATGTACACATGGTACTTTTCCGTCTCGGTTAAATGCTAATGATTTTGCATTTTATATGTTGTCTTATAACTTGGAAAGACTTGGATGTTGACATTGAACGAAATGAATAAACATAAATGAGTCTTTGATTTTCAAATGACGGTTTAAGAGTTCTAAATGGCTAACTATGAAATTGGCATGGTTAAATGGCGTGAAAGTCTTGATATGATGATACCAATGGGAATATGTCTTATTCGGATAACTCTTAATAAATGAGAACTTGTAAAGGTTTTAATTGGGGAGCTTAAAGAGAGTTTGGTAATATAACTGAGAAGACGTAAGGTCCTTGTGACTCATCACCCGAAACCACGTTTGTCGACGTCGGAGGTCCTTGTCCTGAAATATGAATGACCATTGTAGGTTGCTAATCAGAGCAGCCTCTACAATCTTTTCTTTGGGTGAGTTTGGTTCGCCAGATTCTTATATTTCTCAAATTCATGCGGCATACATGATTTGGGACCTTCGGTCGGACGGAGGCCAGACCCATACAGCCCGTGGGTCACATTATGTCGGTAAACACTAGCTTACTCAGAATTAATGATTTTTGAAAGGTTTTTGTCTAAATGTTTTGGGTCTGCACTTATGATTTTGTCTTCTCTTTACGGTTATGTTATATATATATATTGTTTATCCTTTCCCCTGGGTTGCATGCAAGTACTCGTCGTACTGACCGTCCTCGAACACTACATCTTTTCATGATGTAGGAACGGAGACACATGTTCGTGGCTCCAGGCAACAGTAGATTGTTGAGGGATAACGGTCAACATTGTGGTGCTTTTTCCATTTTCCGGAAAGTAGACTTTTCTTTTATCAAGTCTTTCCTTTAATTTTCATGGTATGTCGGGGACCATGTCCTGGTGTAGATATTGTTATTCTGTTAGTAGAGATTTTGTAGACCTATGGTTAGTTGGATTCGGTTTGCTAATTAAGATTTGTCCATGAGGCAAGCGAGGTCAAATGTTTAATACTATCATTTTCAACATCAATGATGTAATTTCCTATAACTAGGTAGAGAAAAGACATGGTGAGATTATTTGAATTACTTCAAAGCAACATGGTCACGTACATGACATCACCACATTATTGTTAAACTTATTAATTAGAATTTATTTGTTTCAGCTGTTATTTGGTTGCTTCAAATTAGTGCGCCCCAATTACACACACTTAATATCCAGGTAATATTTAAAGAGTGGCATATACATTGTTACTACTAATGCTTCCTAATTTGAAACATCGATGATTACATGTAGCACTTATAGAATTTGTTCCTTAGCTTCTAAAAAAGGAAATCACATACTAATTGTGCATTGAGAGAGATGACTATCAAGAAAAATACCAAACATGTTCAAAATAGTTTCCTATTAAAATCATATTTTGGTGTAGTGATATTCGATACAGTTGCAATTACAATCTAGTAATAGCTTTCCCTGAATCATTCCCTATACTTAACTTGTTTTCATGTAGAGGTGACAGTTAGGCTTACGAGATCATTCAAGGATGATGGAGTCTGGAGCTTTTACCTTGAACTGCTACAGTTTCCTCCAGCATCACCAAATGTCGACATACTGCTTGATGAGTATTAATTCATCCAGCTAGCTAGGTTATGCTATTAGTATAGCCACATTAATGATTTATTCCATTTGTAGATTATCAACATAGGTTCACAATGATGTTACTAATGTTTGTTCAGGTTTAAATGACAATCTAGTCAGCTTGAAAGAGAATTTTAAGTTCACACATTGAAGCTTAGAGCACTTCCTATGGACAATTGAGGCACCAAATTCATCGTACTCACCCTTTGTTATCAACATCTGCATAGGATGTAGATATTAGTGTTGAATCCCTTCAGCTTAAAAGAAGATAAGAACACGTTCATAGTTAGAACTAATCGTTCAAGACCAAGACTTGGTAGATTGATTTATTGATAAGTCAAATAAAGTAAGGAGAAACTAACTCTTTCGAAACTATTGACGGAAGCTAGAATTGATCCTCTTATCCAGGTTCTGTACTTCCTCTCAGGTGGTGCTACCACTTTGATCTTCGTGCCCCTTGGAGCAAGAGCAGTGATTTCCTTGCTCATACGTTCTGCTATACCAGGAAACATAGTTGAGCCACCACTAAGCACAATGTTTGCAAATAAATCCTTCCTAGCTAATATCAACATCGCTTTTCATGATTAAATTGTAGACTTTTTCATGGATTCCTGTCGATCCCATCCCGAACAAAGATGACTGGAATAGGACTTCAGGTCAACGGAACCTCTCAGCATTAAGGACTTGTCCAGAAGGAAGCTCAAAGGCCTTCTCAACTGAAGATCTGTTTTTTGCCTTTTCAATCTCTGTTCAAAATCCAGTGCAACATAAGTAATTGTCTTCTTCATACGCCTAGTAACATTATTTTCTCTTATCGTACCGTGAAATACATAACCACCCTCGCAGAGAATCCTCATGAGGTAATTTGTAATATCACGACCACCAAGACCTAACAACGAGATAGCATGAGGAACTGCATGTCCCTCATAGATGGGGACCGTGTTGGCGCCACTATCACCAGAATTAAGCACAATGCCTGGTTGAAAAATTACAAACGAAATTAGTGACTGGCTAAATTAAACAGAAGAGAACCAGTATTTCTTCTTCTGCTTACCAGTTAGCCGACTATTAGCAAACAGAGAGAGAACAGCCTGGATTGCGACTTACATGGATGGAACACTGAATTTCTCAAACATGATTTCGGTCATTTTCTCCCGGTTTGCTTTGGGGTTAAGTGTCACTTCAGTCAGAAGAATGGGATGCTCCTCGGGAGCAACACAGAGTTCATTGTAAAATATGTGATGCCAAATTTTCTCCATATGATCCCAATCTTTTTACCATGCCATGTTCAATGGGATATTTCAGAGTCAAAATACCTCTATTCCGCTGAGCTTCATCACCAACATAGGCATCTTTTTGTCCCATACCAAGCATGAAGCCAGTATGACGATTTGGATCATGAAATCATTATCCCACAAAATCTCTTCTACCAGGAAAGTGAGGAAAGCATGTTGACATCATCTACACATTCAGTATGGAAAATACCCAAATAAATAAAACCATCTTTGATAATCAATTATACATAAGCAGAATTAAAAAATATTCCTAATAACAAGTAGCAAGCACATTAAAACAGAGACAAAATACACTGAATCCAATGGATAATCAGATAGAATTGAAGCTTACGTTCAATATTGGGAGTGAGAGAAAATTAAAAAATATTCCTAATAACAAGTAGCAAGCACATTAAAAACAGAAGACAAAAATACACTGAATCCAATGGATAATCTGATAGAATTGAAGCTTACGTTCAATATTGGAAGTGAGAGAAAAAGAGACTTTTTCTGGTAAACAGAGTAAATGGGACTTGGCTATAAAAGCTGAACTAAAAAGAATAAATCAAAGGGAAAAGGGCATCATTCTGTCGTTATAAAAATCTCATATATATGTCTAAGTGAAATTTTTTATTTTAAATTTACTTTTCGATTTTTGATTTTTTAAAAAGTTCATGTAGATCTACACTTGATCCTTCTCACAGGTGATTTTCTTTACTTCAATGATTCAGCTAATTTGAATATATTATTTTGATGATCAAATTTATTTTTTCACTTATTTTTTTGTAAAATTTATCATAAATACCTCAAATAATGTCTTGAATTTCCAACTAATTAAGTGAAGTTCCATGATACTATCCATGAACTTCAAAAGGAGTCATTATTCAATGAATCTTTTTTTAGAGTTTGAACCGATAAACTTCAAATTCTCAAAGCTTTGTCGGAACTCCTGCATAGTAAAACTCTAACACATTGTGTTGAGTTTTTTTTCCATATTTTCATCAAGGATACATCATACATCTATCCAAATTTCATTTCTTTTTTAAAAGTTTGAATAGTTTTGAAATGATGGTTGAATGTTGGCGGTGTGAAAGTAGTTATCATCCTTCCTCCACACCCTTCTTTTTGCGCAAAATTACAGAGTAGGTAGAGCATTTGTCATTGGTAGCTCAGTAATTGTGGCTACCACATCATGTCTAACAAAAATAGTTCTTATTATGTCAACTCAAACCCGCTAACTGTCAAAATTCTAAGTCTTTCAAAAACTTAGTCCTATCACCCTCCTTTGCTAAGAGATCATCAACTTGACTTCGCTATCTGTAGTTGTGGCTGGTTGCTGGATTCATTAGTGATTGCATCGAAAACCTGCATTTAGAGACTAGTCAATTGTCATTATCAAAGATAAAGAGTGTCTTCATCCCATGAGAAGGCAACAATGTGTTTGATGCTGGTATACAAAATCAACGCAATGCTGGTATACAAAATCACCTAGTAAAGATTCAACATTACTTCACGTGTATCGGGAAAAGCAATGATTTGGTTGATGCTTTCGCAAAACAATAAACTTAATTTTAGCTTCCAACGATTAACAGGAGCTTATGCTTTACATTACCCCCGGTACTTACTTTCAATGTGTACTATAATCATAAATAATGTTGTGAACTAACAACAAAGCAAGTACTATTGTACCTTTTCTTTCATTATCACCTACAACAATAGAAAGGTGTGAAAAAAAATCTCTGCTTACAAACCAGTTATCATAAATGAGCTGAGGATCGTCAAAGCTAAGAAAGTCCAATCCGAGCTCAAGTAGAAAAGCATGAAAACATAAATTTCACAACCACTTATCGATACTACTGAAAAGTTTGCTAATATAACCAAATGTTCTCAACCTAATGCAATATAGGCACTTAGTAACATACGATCCACCAGTTTCCTCCTTACTAGCTTATTATAAAGAAAAGGAAAAAGCCCGCCAAGCAAGAATAGATCACTGTAACTTAAATGAAGCATTCATTTGAAGGGATTTAACTACAGAAATTTGAAGTTCTCACCAAGTTTAGGGACACTTCCTGTGGACAATTGAGGGACCAAATTCATCATATTTGCTATTTGTTATACACATCTGCACGTGACGAAGATATTAGCAGTTAATTAAGAATTAACAAGAAGACAATCACCATTAGAACCAATTATTTGAGACTAAGGACTTAATCGCTTGATTTATTGATCCATCAAATATGGCAAAAATAAACTAACTTGTTGGAAAGTACTGAGTGAAGCGAGAACTGGTCCTCCTATCCAGGTGCTGTACTTCCTATCAGGTGGTGCAAACACCTTGATCTTCGTGTGGCTCGGAGCAAGAGCAGTGATTTCCTTGGTCATACGTTCTGCTAAGCCAGGAAACAAAGTTGAGCCACTACTAAGCACAATGTTTGCAAATAAATCTTTCCTAATATCAACATTACATCTCATGATTGAGTTGCACATTTCCTAATATCCTTGAAAAAATTGTCAACACACGCTGGGCCCACAAGATAGTGCCACGTAGGCTGAAAAAGGATAGAAAATTATATATAAAATAAGTTCGGGGGTAATAGGACCTTAGTAAATGTTAGGTGTGTCTCAGGGATTTTGGGCATAGGTTGGGGGTACTTATGCATTTTCCCAAAAATAATCAATATGCCCTTTAACTTAGTTTTTGCTGACATTTATGCTCTCCAACTTTGAATGTGCACAAGTAGCCATTTACATTTGTATAAAATTAAACAAATAGGCACATGCATCCTACGTGGCATAATACACGTTCGATAGGACGCCACATAGGATTCACATGTCGATTTGTTCAATTTTATATAAGTTTAAATGTCTATTTGTTCACATTCAGAATTAGAGGGAATATATGTCAGTTGAAATCAAATTTAAGACATATTTATATATTATCTCAATTACCAAATTTTACATAGTACGTAGCAATCCACGTATGTGCTCATCTCAAAATTGAGTGATATTCTTTATAATTAATTTCTTTAAATACTAATAGGCTATTCAAGTTAGTATATATTAGGAATTGAAGTTGCTTGTACTCCAAGGATTAAGAAAAATTAATTCGAGTCCTTGCAGGATTAAGAAAAATTAATTAAGCCACCCATAAATAGAACAAGTCTGTTTATGAGTCCCCAAAATAAACAAAGACGTTTCTCACATCTAGAAATTATCTGTTATTCCATGGATATTGAAGTTGATCATTATACTGCTTTGGATTTACCCTCCGGGAAGGAAGGGGCAAAGCTTTCTGAAATCGACATATCGAAAGCCTATCGAAAGAAAGCATTAGAATTGCATCCAGACAAGAGACCCGATGATCCCATTAATGTTCACTCCAACTTTCAAATTTGTGGCATAAAGAAAGATAAGTTTTTTAAAAAAAAAAAAAAGTCTAGGGAGATATGGATAGGGTTGTCACATAAAGTTAATAAATTAAATAGCATATGTAACTAAACATGTCATTATAATTACTTCCCAAATAATACTATATTATTTACTTAATTATTCATCATGGTGATGAAAAATTTGCTGAATTTGGTAGCTTTGAGCAATATTAATAACAACTAAGTTGGACTGATGAACACTTTAAAAGACTCGTTGGAATTGATCCGCTACGAAATTAGTACACAAGCTAATTAATCAAGTGTATGTAAGGGAAATGGAAAATGGAAACATAAAAGCTGGTAGATGACAAGCTGATAAATTGGATTGTGATTATAAAGCTTGAATGTAAATGATTACACGATTGAAAAATAAGTGTTGAATTTGCACTAATTAACTTCTTCTTTTTTTTTATCACGAACAAATATGATAATAAGGATGAGTTTTTTTTTTTGTTTTGAATTAAATATTCAGACTCAAATCATGTAAATAGTTAAAGGATAATAAACTCTTCTTTTAAAATGGAATCATACATCTAATTTAATTGAACGAGTAGATTTCGAATATCAAATATGCAATATTGAAAAAAGTCCTCCTTCATGCATGCATGCATAAGTGTCGGCCTATTTGTAGACATGAGAATAACGGCCATTGGACCTTATCCACCTTAATTTAGTTGGTCGTGTTTTCTAAATTTTCTTTACTATTTCGTTTTGATTCTCATTCACAATATGTTCCGTACGGAAATTAAATATTTTACGGAAAATATTTTTTATTTATTTTATATTTGATTAATCAAACTTTTTGAAAAATATTTTTTTATGAAAATAGTAACATTTTTTAGTGAAAATAGAGATATGTACTTTAAAAATGTAAATTTTTTTTTTTTTAGTGAAAGTAACAAAAAACGAATTCCACTAGTGATATTACAATGTCATTTTCGTCCTCTAACACATATCTTTACCTTCACCCCACCCCACATTCAATTTATGAAGAAGAGAAGAGAAGAGAAAGTGAAAGGAGAAAAACTGAGTGTATTAGAACCAACCAATTGTAGCTATATGTCAAAAAAAAAATCGTATGTGTATAAGAGAAATCAATACGTCTATGCTCAAACTATATCTTTTTTTGATTGATACATGTTGATAATGGTAGTTGTATCTATGTATGAGAGAGAGATTGTGTATGTGTACTTATATGTGCGTTGATTTGTGTATTTCAATACAATTTGTGTCTGAGATACAATCTGTTTTTCGCTCTTCTCTATCTCTCTTGATCTCGCTCTCCTTTCTATTCTCTAAAACTATTATTATAAATCGTCATTAAACAAATTATAACTACTATTCATAATTATGATCCAACAAACTATAATTATTAATAAAAATTCCACTTAGTTTACTCATCTTTTAATTAAGTGCGCACAAATCTTGGGCCTAACCCATTTCACGAGGGCCTACTTAGTCAACTATTTGTGTATGAACCTTTTTGACGTCACTCTTTAAATTATATGTCTCCAAGCAAAATAACTCGTAAGTCAAGTAAATAGAAAGCTATGAACAAATTTATAAATAAAAGTAAAAAGAGAGCAAAGCCAAGTTGAAAATGAGTAGAATTATTAATCATGTCCTTTCAAAGATATATCTTTGGTCGCCAACTCTCTTATCATCAGGTCATCGATCAACTTCCTTCATTTTAACGTATTACACATTAGATTAAAGGTGAAATTCACGTTTATAAGTAGTTAAATTTTTTGTTTTTTTCACAGATAGATTTAGTCGACAGAGAATTAAAAAGCCTTAAAAATTATTTGTGCAAATTGCCCCCTTTGGAACACAAGAACTCTTTAATGGAAAATAGATATATAACTCCAATTCCTTCAAAATTGATAGTCAATTTTATTTTCGATAGGGGCAATTGATAACTGAATTCAAATTTGATCATTATTTTCATATTCGTAATAGCAATATTGAGTTTTTTCGACCCTTTTCGTGGGTTGAAAAAGAGAATTAAAGTCTATGAGATCGAACCTCCTATTGTTCCTTGGAAGCTCAGTAATGCCCGTTAACATTCTATCTCATCTTATCACATTCTTTTCTGTAAAATTAGAAAATGACCATCAATACCGTAGTCTACATCTTAATTAACTCTTGGATGATTGTTTGAAGTTTTCATTGTTAATGACTTGATTGTACGACATGTGATATTCAAAAGACTAATAAAGAAAAAGAAATGAAAACGAAAGAAAGTAGAAAAAAAAAGAAAAGGATAAAAGGAATCTCACGATGATAATAGCTAAACATACGTGTGAAACATTGTGAATCATATATATTATCAAGCAGCTTCATATAATTGCATACAAAGTAGTCAAATTTTATAAAATTTAATGACCACAAGTAATTAAATAACTATGATTTATATGCTTTTGTCAAGATAAAGTTAAAGCTACTCAATAGTTAAGTAACATTTGGTTCTACGGGGTGTTTATAATGAAACTTTTACTTTATCATGTTTGTATATATTGATTTCCTCCATTTTATTCTTCTTATCTTTCTTTTTATTCTCCCTGCCAAATCAATTTATAAATAGATTGTTGTTTTTTTTCAAGATCATAGATTGATCCTAAAAACACTATTTTTAGAATTTTGTTTTTAGTAGAGAATTCGAAGAGACGTGAAGGAAAAAACAATAATATTTGATGGAGAAAAGCATTATATTTGGAGAAGAAGAAAGGAAAAAAGGTAAAATAAACTCACCGATTTCAATTCAAGCTTGGAAGAGAGATATACACCATTTTGTTGAGTTTGGTTGAAATGAGAACTTGCCAACATATAAGAGAAATATATTTATATATATATCCTCCTCAATGGTTAGTTTTATTTTTCAATATATACACATCATTATACGATATTTATAAATTGCAATAGTACGTCTTCCTCAATGGTTAGTTTTATTTTTCAATTTCAACGAGCTCAAATCTCATCTAATTAAACTGTAGTACCAATTCTTTTATATATACGCTCCTCTTGATGTTTTGCTATTCTTGATATATTATTCATAAAACAGACCACATTTGGTTGAATTTTAAAATTTGAACTTGAAAGGTCTTCAATGATGATTTTCATTATATTCACTTCAAATTTCTTATAAATAATCCTAAAATTTCGATATGAACTTCTCTCAATATTTTGATTCGTTTGATATATTATACGTTCAAAATGCTTCATATTTGCAGCTAGTAAAAAATTTGAACTCCCTAATATTTCCAAGAGAAGCATCAATAAGCCCAAAATTACCCAAGTGACTGAAGAAGATTAGTTAATGATCGAATGAAGATTCTTAGTAATTAGCGATTAATTGAGTCATTAATCATCATCATTTTTTATTCCTCCTTTCTCTTTCTCTCAATGCTACTATTTTTTATCACCAATTGCCCTTTCGTCCTATTTTGATAGAATATACGTAAGTTTTATCTCTATTAATTATTATTGAGGGGTAGAGTACTGATTGTTTTTAATAAATCGTTGGCTCAATAAAAGCATATTTCAAAATAGGTTTAGAAATATAAAATAAAGAAACTATGATGAAAATTATCCATTGTTTAATTGCTGCAGACTTTAGTACTGAATAATATTACATGCATGTTTTCACACCCTTAAAATAACGTTATTTATAGGTGAAAATTGCATTCAACTATGGTAAGATTATTAGTATCTTTGCTACATTTAATTTAACTATTTACTAAAATTTCATACTATGTACATTTTTTATCAACTTTCAAAGCATCTAACTAAAAAGGATCCAAATTTAAATGCATTTTACACGAATTTATAAGAATATATTTGAGTTTTTAAACTTTGGACTCGTACAAGGCTCCAACCAAATTTAACTTTCGAAATTTTCAAAGTTTCGTAACATCAATTTTTTCTTATGATTTTTGGTGTTAAATTTTCAAGTTACAGATTGAGTTCTTGATTTTACTTTTAATTAAAAAAATTGGATGAAGAACTTTGGATTTTTAGGTTCGATCTCCAATAGAGACAAAAATACAAGCTAGGTGATTT